AGCCTGTCAAGGTCCCTCTGGATGGCAAAATTAGTTGAACTCCGGAAACTGAGCAACTTAAACTTGGGAAAAATGGGGATTCTTGGTTTCACAAGAAAAACAAGGAAGGCAGGACTGCAGAAATAGGACCAACTACAAACATCATGCGCAGTTTGAACTACGCATGGTGCTGATGTATGACTGTTTATCTCCAAAGCTGTTGTCAGCTATGTCGTCTTTGAAGTCCTGTGCAGTTCTGGCATAACTCTACTTAGCAGCATTATTAAATGTCTCACTTCTGAAGATGTTTTAGTGGAGATAATCAGTTTCGCTATTCAGCATTTCTGAAATAAACTAGAGTGAGGGACACCCCTATGTCCACATGAACAAATTGATCCTTCTTATCATAGAGGTGGCACCTGCACAAGGGTAGATCTTACTTTTAGAAATAGAGTCTGTGCCTGAAGTGAAGCTTAGCCCTGAGCAAAAAGCTATTAGCTCAGATTTCATTCAGATTGAATGATAATTCTAGTCTGGCTGTTGACACACTTACCTTAGTTCCTATGCAGCATAGATGCTTTCTAATAATACAAATCTTTTGATTAGTTAGCTGGATAGATGCTCATTTGGAGCCACTTAACTGGACTGACATGGTCATACAAGACACCCGTATCTCTCAGCCTACCTGCACATAGATGTGGAGTTTTCCTAGATAACTGAATGCATTAAGTCTTGTGACTTGGCTGCTGTTTGTGGCATTTAACAGCTCTGAGCTAGTCCGTAAGTGGTGGCAAAATGAAAGAACCATGTTAATTCATGTTGTAGTTCATTTTTGAAAATACTTGATGATTAGGTGGAGTAAATAAGGAATAAGCATTATAAGAATGATAATGTTATTCACACATGGAAGTGAGCAATGTGCCAGCACCTACACCTCTCCCTTCTGTTTAGGAACTACTAATCCTAGTTGCCAGTTTTGCAGCTTTGGTATCAGAATCAGGTCTCTTCTGCAAGTGTTCTTTGAATGCCTTTGACACTTTTTCCTCGCACTTCCATTTGTATACATGCACACACACACACGTATGTATAGAATTTGTGCGTGTTTGTATACCTCTTAGCAAAGTAATTGCATAATCTATTAATATAAACTATTCTTACATGACTTTCTATTTTAAACGTAGTAAAACTTTCTTCCCTAAAGAGATAAGGCTATACTTGCATTGAATGCGTTTGCTGTTAAACTTTGGACTTAGGTTTTGTTTGGCATACTATTTCACTGTGGCAGAGAAGCAGCCCCAGCACACAATGTTGTCTGCACACTAGAGAGGGGAGACAAAGGTACTGAATGAAGGACGAAATAACTGAAGAAAGATGTAGGGATTCTTGGGAGGAAATAGTGTTACTGTGGAAGGACTCAAATCTGGAGGAAAACCAGCTTCATCAAAATCTTTCTGTTGCTAGTATTTGTTACTTTGTTTCTTCAGATACTGCTTTTTATCTTTGTTCCCATCTTTGCTTTTCCATAATTCGCAGTCCACATAGTAGATGCAGTCCACTGTTCTTTACTGTTACTGGCTTTTCAGTCTTCTTGTCTCAGTTTCCCTTGTTTATGGAAGTGAAGCAGTTGGACTTAAGACACTCAGACAGTTAACAACTTTTTATTAGCTCTAAGGTTTTTCTGTTACTCTTCTTCACTGTTCCTCTTACGCAGTCCATACGAGGTAAGTAAGGAGGCTCACCACCAGGTTCTTCAGTACAGTTATGTTTGCACAGTTTCAAAGAGATCACTAAAGTAAATAGTACATACTGTCAGCTTTGAAACTCAGGTAATGTTCAACAGCTTGTCTTCCCAACTGGTGTGACTGACGCCAATATTCACCAGTTTAACTGGTCAGTCATATTTTAAGCTTTTTTATTCTTCACTCTTACTGTACATTAGGCCCAAAGCACCTCATTCTCCAACAGAGAAATCAGTGTTCTAGCCATCAGCTATCGTTAAGAGGAAACTGAGGGCTAGCAGTATCAAATGTCAGTTACATTGATAATGGAAGTATTTGTATTTGATAATGATACTTGGCTTCTAAATCAGGAACGCTGCACCAGAGTTTTGTGTTATTATAGTCTTTCAAACTCACGTTTCTCTAAGCATGCGTTTTCCCAAAGCATAATCCAGTAGGTGTTAGGGGATCATGATGCGTGCTTATCTGTTGAATGAAGGAAGATGATTTCCATTGTCTTCTGGGTAAAGTCAGTAGCTGTAAAATGCAACACAGCCTTTCATTTTGGTGAAGAAATAGAATGAGCATAAATAATTGTGCTTCTGCTTAGACATAAAGATAAACAGTAAGTTTAGAGAGCAAAGTATTTAATTATTTACTGATTGGTGTACGCACTAATGTTTGACGAATATAATTCTCTGTTGTCTTTTCCTAAATCTTATAATGTCTGTCTTCCTTTATTTACCAATGTTTTACCAAACTATTGAGCTTTTTTCCTTGTCATTTAAAGTATTTAGAGAAGAAAAGGAAATACGTATTTGAAGATCTTATTTTTTATCTTTGGGAAAGTGCTTTGAAATAAGCTTGTGTAACCAAAAGGCATAATGCTTTCTCTTTAACAAATAATAAAGCTTTGAGAATTGAAAGATCTAAATCTGCTTCCAAAATGTAATCAAGAGGATTTCAATTACTCCACTAATCTAAACCCTGGGAAATCTTAGCAAGAAAATCAATTATTTCCCTTCCAAATGTTTTTCCTTCTTTTTGTTTGCAAACAGAAAACTTGGAGAACATTGCTTTTCAACTCCTTGGATCGTATGTAGTGCTATGAAGCAAGTAAAAATTGTAATTCATACCTTCTTCCAGTTGACACCGTGATATGAGTGGAGGCCAGGGGAGAATGGCATACTTAAAATACTTGATTTGCTATGTAGTGTTTCAGTGGCAAAGCAGTGGCAAAATACTGTACAAAATTTTAACAGTTGAAAGTCACTGTTGGACTTGATCTTAAAGGTCTTTTCCAACCGAAATTATGCTGTGAAAGTAGTTCAGTGCCAGCTTGATACTGATGCTTGCTTAGTAAGTGGTGAACTGCTGTGTTGAAAGTGAGTGCTCTGGCAACAAACTTCTATTTGTGTTATTGTTTAAGGTTAACACCTGGCACAAATGTAAACTTACACCTTCTTCTTTCTCAGGTGTTCAGTAAATAATGAATGCATGAGTGAACTGAATCCAGCAATATTCTGAGGAAAGACCATCCTCAAAGTAGCCAGATGCTTTTGAGGAGAACTAGCAGGAAATAAAAGAATGAAAACTTAACTTTGGCATACATTGCTAGAAAGGAAAGAAGGGAAGAGACATATAAGGAAAATACAGATGCATTTCCCTTATGAAAAATCCCTGCTGTATCTTTCCTATTTTACATTGGACTTACAATTTAATTAGATGGGATTTTTATCTTAATTGTCTAATGTCTCCAGTCTTCTTCATATGATGAACTCTTCCCAGTTAGGAATTAATAAACTAAGGAAAACAGCGTTCTTGGTAATGTACCTTTCTCAAAGCAAAGTCTGGAATTTAGGAACAAAAGTGCTACTGAAAATCCATTGGAACTGTATTTGCAAAATTATAAAGGCTTTTGAAGAATTTTGTATTTACCAGTTGCTAGATATATTGCTTATTCTGGATGGCTTCAAATAATCACTTTTCAATCAATGGCAATAGATTAACTACACTTGAAAATAAATATATTCCTTTCTATTTTTTACTTCTGTTAAAGTTTGTTTACCTCTTTCTTTACATGCTTCTGCCTCTCTCTTGCTTATCTTACAATATTCAGGAATATTCCAATAAATTTAATGGAATCAGAAAGGAATTGGCAAGAAAAGAGGTAAGACTGCAGTCTAAGGAGTGTTTATATTTGGATCCATAAATCTCTGAAGCAAAAAGTTAATATTTACCTAGATGTATAAAGCTGCAAAAGTATGAACATCTGCGCTAGTCTTGGAAGAAACTGACTTCTGTCTGAATTTCTAAACCCAGTACTTGATGTCAATAGGCATTTTAATAGGAAACAACTCTCTGCGATCACTAATTATTCTAGTTGAGTAACTTTTTGTTCAGTAGTATTGTTTAATTATTTTCTATTATTTTGTATATTGAACAGATGCTCAAGAAGGCTATTAATAACGTCAGAAGAATGGCTTCTCATCCAACATTACCATATTGTAAGTTCAGTTTTGTTAGAAAAAGGTTATCTAAAGATTATATATTTACTTATTGGCCCAGTTTCGTCGTATGCTGCTATTTTGTACTCACACAGCAATCTATTATACGTTTTAAAGTTTGCTTATAAGCCCTATTTTACTGAAACTATTTTTTGTTTCAAAAAAAAATAATACTGAGGGATATAGAATAGCCTTTAGAAACAGTGCTGGTTTTTACAGCAAAAAGTACTGTATTTCTGTTTATTTGTGACTTGCACGAAAGATAGTAGGAAAAAGATACACTATTATCTCCAAGTAAATAGCTTTTTGTTTCAGTACCATCTAAATACAGTTCTTAATTAAATAATTAGTAAGTGTAGGAAAATAACCTTTGAATAGCACAGCTTTAAGTTTCAGTGCTACTCCTATTACTCCTACAATGTGCCAGCTACTATGGCACTATTGTGACAATTATTTTGAGGATGCTGAGAGCTGGGGTGAGATTTCTTAAAAGTTTGGAGGCAACCTTCCTGCTCAACTGCTACACCAACTATGGAAAGTCATGTAAATATTTTCTGTTGCAGACCTGACAGGCGCTCAAGATGGTAGTGTAAGAATGTTTGAATGGGGTCATGCACAGCAAATCACATGTTTCCGATCTGGTGGCAACTCAAGAGTAACTCGAATGAGATTCAATTACCAAGGAAATAAGGTAACAGACAGAATGCTTTTGTGCTTACCCTCTTCTATTCCTCTTCACACACCACCCCTGCCAAATAATTGTAAATTAGCAGAAACATCACATTCATCAAATCTGAAGTAGTTTCTCTGAATTGTGGATAATTTCTCTGTATACATACATATGCATTTACAGTTAATATATCCTTTTTCAGTTTGGAATTGTTGATGCTGATGGATATATAAGTTTATATCAAACAAATTGGAAATGTTGTCCACTTACTGGAACTTCACCTAAACCATATTTGGTAAGCTGAAAACTAAATTTGCTTCCATAAACTTGTATTGTGCTCTCTTTCCTTCCTCCTTTAGAGTGATTAGGAGAGGGCAAGGATTGTGCTGATAGGCAGTAGTAATCAAGATTTAATAATATATTGCTGCCATCCTGGGATCCATACAACAGACAAGTTCTTAAATCCTAATCATACTTATTAAGTCAGAGAAAATGCAATGTTAGATCTGAAAACTTGAGTATTCTTTGAGACTTGTCAATAATTGTCAAGTGTTAATTAATTATCAATAATGCGGGACTGAAAATTATATTTCCATGAAAAATTAAGAGTATCAGAAGGCATACACGTACCTTTATGTCCTGTGTTCTTCGAATTGTTTTTGAAACAGCTTACCTTCTTGAGGAAGGTAAGGTCTGCTCACACAAAATCCATTTCTTTTTTAATTAATTTCTAAACTGCAATTTTTTCAGACGTGGCAGTGTCATAACAAAACAACCAATGACTTTGTTTTCATCAGTTCATCATCTTTGATAGCCACAGCAGGGTCGTCTTCGGACAACAGGTAAGAACTGCTGTGATAATACATAAAAATGAAGTGTGAAGGGCCCCTTTTCTCTCCTTTCTTCCCTGCCCTCCATGCCCCCACCTTCCCTCTGCCCCTCGCCTTTTTTTTGGTGATTCTGCTTAAGCATTTTAAGAACACCGTGTAGTTCTGCTCTCTTTCTTTGGAGGAGGAGGAGAAAAGCAATATTTGCAGCTAAATTTTATGTGCCTACTAACAGAGGTTCCATAGGGAAGCACAAATCCTCTGTTCATGTTCCATATGAGGAGCGGAAGTGGAGAGGGAGATGCTGATATCTTCTTCCTGATATCCAGTGACAGGATGTGTGGGAGTGTTTCAGAGCTGCGACAGGGGAGGTTTTGACTGGACATGAGGAAGCATTTCTCTACCGAGGTGGTGGTCAAACACTGGACCAGGCTTCCTAGCCTGTCAGTGTTTAAGAGGCATTTGGACAATGCCCTTAATAACATGCTCTAACTTTCAGTCAGCCCTGAAGGGCTCAGGCGCTTGGACTAGATGATTGTGTAGGTTCCTTCCAACTGAACTTTTCTGGTCTATTCTACTCATATGAGTCTGTCTTAAATTATTTTTATAGATGTAGGGAGTTGTGTGTAGCTCTTCATTTCACACTTAGTTTCTTACAAGTAAGTTTTGATCAACAAATAGCAAAACCTGCTAACATTCAGGTGAATTGAGCTATAAAAGACTGTAATCTCAATATGAGTCCTTTATGAGACTAACCAGGCACAAACAATTGTGTAGAGGGCATGTTCTTGAGTATAACTGTGAAAGTAATTTGGGGTCTGCTCAAAAGTGATCATGGAAAGTCTGCTCACAGTGCTTTTACGCCTGAAACAGTCTTTTTAAGGTTCAGGTGACTTTTCAAGTATTCAAAATACTTTAGAACATTTGTCACTGAATTAAATGGGGTTTTTTTTGTTTTTTCTACAGAAATATTTGTCTTTGGGATACTTTGGTTTCACCTACAAATAGCTTGGTGCATGGTAAGTAAAATACGTAGAGCAAAATACTTGATCACAGTAAAAAATATGTATGTGTTTCTGTCTTTATGGAAAAGTTATTGAGAGAAGTAATTTTAATATTAGTGGTAAAACATTCTTCACTGTCCTGTGTGAGTGCACCAACAGCAATATAAAAACAGATTCTTGAGAAATTATTTAGTGCTATATATAAATGATTGGTTTCCTGGGCATGAGCACCTTCCTTTGCATACCTTGTATCCTTGCACCACAAGTGCAACCCGTGACAGCCAGACATCTGTCTTTTCTGTTACTTTTAAAAAAATTCTGTGCAACTCCTGCATGGTCTATCATGTTGAGAAGAAAATAGCTATAACACTGTCAAAATTGCAGTTTTTAACACAGTTATGCAATACATATTTGCAGGATATGCATCCACACCCTTCAATTCAAAGTTCCTATGGCTGTCTGTACTCATAAATTTTAAGTATTTAATTGCCTCTGTGAAAATCCTGTCCTCAGCAAAGCCATGATTATAAAACAGTTCTCTGAAGGTGCGTATATATGTGAATAAAAGCACAAAATTTTCTAGAAAATACTCAGTGATTTTTATTAATATATTGAACAAGCAGATGTACAAATAATATCTCTTAATTATGTACTAATTTTCAGAGTTGAATTAAAAGATGAACTTAACTGCTGTATTTGTGAAGTAGTGCATTTTTGCTTTCAAAGATTGTCCAGTTCTAAGGCACTTTTATCTATTATGCCAAATACTGTGGAATGTTTAGATCCTTTCTCTGTGTGTGTGCATGTATAGATATGTACATAGAGTATTATAAAAACGCTTTAGAAGAATTATTCCTGTAAGCGTGCATTTTGAGATGTAATAAATATATTGCATAGTAATACATATTATTAGTAGTAATAATGTATGTATTAGTATTACATATTATGTATTAGTAATAGATATATGTATTAGTAATACATATTATAGTATATTACTATACATATAGTAATAATAACTTTATTACTAATATTTTGTTGCAGTGGAAAAGAAATACATTTCAATATCTGAAATACAGAAATAGGCTCAGAGAGAGTTGTGAACTCCTTGTAATTGAAGTATGGTGAACGCTTAAGTCAATGTGTGAGACATGGAATTTCTAAACGTAAATTTAGAAAACCCTTTGAACTTATATAAGTACAACATGCCACACGCCACCTGTTAAGATTCATAGTGTCTAGTCTCAGACATACTGAGCTTTGTTCTGGTAATTATAATCTTCATTCACTTCCTCCACTCATTTCGGGGAGTAGACATTTCCAAACAAATGTGAAAAGCAGCAAACTGAAAGTTAAACAACCTGTGGAAACTTAAAAGATATTTGAGCAAGTAATTTAAGAGGATATTTCTTATGGGAAACATAGACTTTAAAATAACAAGCATTGGAAAGTTTGAAAATAATCTGTTTCTGGTCAAGGCTTAATAGTTTGTGATTACACAGTGATAGAAAAAATGATGTAAAATTTTGTTCATACAGATTGTAACTGCTTGGTTTGAGAACACTGCAACTTCAGGATGTCTGATGTGAACGTGGGCTTACACGTATACAGTACTGCAGTAAATAGACTGGTTGTGGTCAATTGGATTGCAGCATCACAGTTACTGTTGCTTGTCTTGAGCCGTTAGATGTTGATGGAAAATTAAAGTTAGTACTGTGAAACTGAAGTTAGTACTGTGTGCTTACTTAAATTACTTTGCTTTGCCTTTCAGCTTTTGTCTGTCATGATAGCGGAGCAACTGTGCTAGCATACGCTCCAAAGCATCAGCTATTGATATCTGGAGGCAGAAAAGGCTTTACCTGTATCATTGATCTTCGCCAAAAACAGCAGCAACAGTTACTCCAGAGTCATGATTCTCCAGTCAAAGCAATTGCTGTTGATCCTACGGAAGAATACTTTGTCACTGGATCTGCTGAAGGCAACATAAAGGTATTAATGAGCAGGAGGGAACAGAGATGAAGATGGTGATGATGTGTAAATTCAAAAAGAATCTTGCATAGTTGTGGAATAATCACATATGTCACACACTCTGCGTTTGTCCTCAATCCCGACTTTCAGATTTACTAACCAAATTACGAAACATTAGTCATACCTTAGTCCCTGTATATATTCCTTATTATAGAAAATTAATATTAACAACTGGGTCATTAGATTGCTATATATCTTTTCTTTTACAGTTAGTGTCAGAAAAATGAATGCGAAATGCAGTCCAGTTTCTCCATGACTCATTACTGGTGAATTTTAAGATCATGGTAATTATCCTTGTAAGAGATTCATGTTTTGATGCTTTTTCAGGTATGGAGTCTGTCTACATTTAATCTTCTTCACACTTTCGTCAATGAGCATGCTCGACAGTCTCTTTTCAGAAACATCGGAACAGGAGTCATGCAAATTGAGACAGGACCGGCAAATCACATATTCTCCTGTGGTGCTGATGGAACAGTAAAGATGAGAATCTTGCCTGATAGATTCAGCCCTTTAAATGATGTGTTAAAAAATGATGTGAAATTTATGATCTAATATTTTTCTCAGAACAGTGTATAACATTTGCCTTCTGCCATCCCTGAAAATATTTTTTTTCCTGGAACTAGCCAGCAAAGCAGATACACAATGATAGCTTCCCTCCCCCCCCCCCCCCCCCCCCCATAGTTAATACCTAGAGCTTTTAGCCCCTGATGCACTGATGCCTTAAAGATTAACAAGGTCCTTCAGATTTAGCCGTTGCCTAAAATGAAAGCTATACGTGACTCTGAATTATATACTTAGAATATTATTAAGATGTTACTGAAGTGGTTTACTCTTTGGTTACCCAGTGGTTACACTCCCACCTGGCGTGTGCCATCTGGGCATGGCCTCTCCTTATATTCAACATCTGGCAGCCTTCTAAAAGCAGGTCCATCCAAACGGAAACCTTAGATAACGTTACTCTTTCACTGTGGCAGCCATAACTGTCTCTCTTCTCAACTTATTTAGTCAGCCAACAATAAAAATGTATACCTATGTGCAGAAGGGAAACAAAGCCTGTATGAGTAGATCCTTCTGGCCATGCAAGCATTCATATAACGAGCCACTGTCTGTCTCCATTCCTGGAATCCAGGCTGTTTACCTCTTTAACTTGCCTGATCTCCTTCCTCTGATGCTAGGGTATAAGAAACTGAAGGATGTTCTGTAACTTGTCTTCTGTTCTATAGCTTGAATCACTGCCATCAGGATGGCAGGTTTACCTTTTAAAAAGAAATATATTTTTAACCCTGAACACTCCCTTTACAAAAATATGTAAATATTAATGGATATCTTCCTGGTAAACAGTCAAGATTATGTGTGAAGCTTTAGTCTTGATCAAAAAGATACAGGAAGATACTGCTTTAGAATATGGCACTAGAATTTCTTTAATAAACTATTTATTTACATGTCTGTAGAGGGAAAAAAAAAAACAACCTAATTTATTTTTACAGTTTTTCCAGTAAGACTTTTCTTTAGCCCAAAGATACTCAGTTAATTCTTAGCACTTATGTTTGTGTTTGTCTATGTTTCTGAAGTACTTTAAAAAAGGAAAAAGGAAGAAAGTTCAACAGTACTGTCAGTCTTTGTACTGTATGTTTGTATCTGATGTAAAATGAAAGAAAAAAGTTTTGAAAAGGATAGATGGATATTTTTTTTTGCCAAAATATTAAAACTGCCTAACTTAAATGTTTGACCAAATTATTAATGCACAAAGCCTCTACATTTTTTTTTTTAGTTAGCTAAGAAGTGTTTCTGTAAGTATTTTGGTTTGCTTTTCCTGACTTGAGAGCTTGACAAAAGTTTAATTTGTAAATTAGATGTGAGGCTGGACTACTTGAATGCCAATGGTGTACTTTTTGTTAAAAGATATTTTGTGAAATATAGCACCAAGATATTAACTGTAAAATAAACTTGTCAAATTAGGAACTATGGGGATAAATAAAGCTTAGCAGAAATGAAGGGCTTGTAAAACGAACTTTGTAACATTCTCAGGATGCTTTTCTCTTAGGAATATAACGTTGTTTAAAAAGATTTTGTAAAATGTATTAAGGTCATTTTAAATGTATGTTTTGCAAGTTGCAGTGCAAACACTATGAAGGTTTTTATGCACATAACCTGACTTTTCAAATTGTGCAATAAAAAGAATGAGAATATTTTGCCATGAAGTGACAGCAGTTCAAACTGGTACAGCTGTTCAGTGATTCAATTGTAATTGTTCTTCCACAACACTTATAGATTGAAATCAAAATTGATATCAAAACAGTTTAAGTACAGTGATGGACCAGAAAAGTGACTGACTAAAAGTGATACCACCTTACAAAACATACTTGCCCAATGCATATGTCGTATCTGCTCAGTGGCTGAGTTTCTAATATTCCTTATTCTTACGAAAGAAGGAAAACAATGGAGTTAACAGTAGCACACTCCTTGAGAATCAACTGAAACCCTGACTTTGTAGCTGCTTGCTTATGTACATGCATTAGTTTTACGTACCCACTGAACTAACAAAGTTACGTTCAGAAAAGGAAAATGTGCGAAAATCCCGGCAACGTTACATAATGATGTCCTTGATGTTTTGTCCTTAAATATCTCATCAGCTTTAATATTTCAAGCTCAGTTTATTGTACTGGCAATCACTCAAAGCTGTCCTATCATCTGCGAGCTGAGCAGATTTCTGTATGTAATTTGCCAAGACGTACGATGTTGTCGTCATTTTTTCTGAGTAGAGCTGCACTATGAATAATCCTGGCGAACTTATGCTTATACCAGAAAAGTACTGACTGTGAGCAGGCATTTTGAACAACGTTTGTAGTTACCATAAGCTACTCTCAAAACTAAATTATGTAAAATCAAATGTATTTGCCACACCTTCATAATCTTCCCAATAAATCCTACAGAAACTCAACCTTCTAGGATTCCATGTTGCTGCTGCTTCGTTTACGAATCAGTTGTTTGCTTGTAAAATGTTAATAGATGTTTAATAATTATTGTAAGTCAGATTATCGGTAGCTTTCTTGTAATGATGGAGCTAAAATTATTTAACTTCTGTTGTATCTGAAACTTTCAAAGGGACACTCTCAACTTCAAATCTAGTCATTGGGGAAGAGCTGAACTCAAAACTCTTCCAGCTGTTGCCCTTAAGGTCTACTGACTTTTGTCCTCCGGCAGTTGATGCTTTCTCCCTGTTGCTATGCAAGTTACTCAAACAGAAGAGTAATAGTGGCTACCCAGGGTTCTGTGCTTGAAGTAGCCATGTGCACAAATTGAACTTAAAATTGGCATTTACCAGTGCTTGATCAACATAATTCCATGTCCAGACAATGTAACTTAGCTTGTAGTTGATAATGTCCCTTTTAAAAACCATGGACTAGCAGTTGTGACTGTGTTTGTCTATGTAGCAATACATAATGCAATCAGAGTGTGTCATTCTTGTGTTGCTAATTGATTAAGTTACCTCAAACAGATCTATGATCTAACTCTAGTGACTTGTGAGAGTTAAAACTCTGGCCATCTGGGTACTTAAACTGGCTTGCTGTGTGACTTTTAACCAGAAAATTCTCAGCTGACAGCTGATGTTGCAGGATGTTTGGGGATAGATGGAGAGGTAGAATAGATGCAGATTTTGTACCACACTGCTGTGGCACAAGGTGAGCTTATACATGTTCTACTGCATTTTAGGAACCTCGCCACCAGTTACAGGAAATAAACTGCTGAGATATCCTACATTAGGTACCACTCCCTTCCTCTTAAGAGCACCCAGCATTAGCTTAGTTGCAATAGGTATGAAAAAAGCAACAATGATTAAAAGGAAAAAGGCTTGGAGACGATGTGTTCTCCAAGGTAGTTTTTTCAAATGTTTATTTTTACTAAAAATAGCAAAACCACTTCTAATGGCAAGTTCAGCACACTGATCAAACTACTTTCTATAAAATAAAGATATTGATTTACCAAGTTTCTTGGTGTTTCTTATTCCTCCTCAGTTATAGCTCTAAAACCTGCACGGTTTTGATCTTTATTCTTCCCTATGTTTTTTTTTTTAATGCCTTAGCTTTCCTTGTATTAGCTTTTTGATGTTTTGGGTGGTTGTTTTTTGGGGTTTTTTTGTGTGTGTGGATTTCTTTTAAAAACAACAACAAAAAAATCAGTGCCTAACCATCCGTTGTAATTAGTTCTAAGTCATTTCTCAGTGGAATGAGGTGGATGTAGTGATGGTGCTTTCAGTTGACTTCTTCCACAACTAACTTTTTTAGCCTCTTGTCTGCTTCGTGTAGGTCTTGGGGTGCTCCACCTTTCTAATGTCCCCACCTCCAGAAGAGATACAAAGATGAGGGCCCCTATTCTCGTTACACACTAGGCAGCAAGGTGCTGCGAAAACTAAAAATACCTCGGCGTGCAGCTCCGTAGAACGAACGAAGAATTTTATGTGGGGTTTTCCCTCGCAATAGTTCTAACTCCTTTGGTAGCAAAGCACGGAAAGAACCGAAGAAAAGAGTTACCCCCGAATCTGATGCCCTTTGCAGGCGTGTTCAACCCCCTCTCCTCCGCCTGATGCTTTCCTCGGCGTGTGCCCGGCGGGCGTGCGGTCGAACCGA